TAGTTGTTGAATTTTTTACTTATGTTATGTTTAGGATTTAAATTGCTTTTGTCTGTTTATTGCTTCTGTTTCTTTATCGCATTATTTTGATCGTTCTACTCCTTTTGTCATTATGAACTGAGTTCAATCTTCTTATAAATCAATTTTAATCAGGTTTCCTTTCCAAGTCAATCTCATATTAGTTTTGCTTCCCAAGATTCTTTGCTTATTTACTTACTTTTCAGGGAAGTTTCAATTGCACTTTAATTCTTATATTTGATTGAGGACAATGCAAATCTTACAATGTGGGGTAGATAATTATAGATGTTTGAACTGAATTGTTGTTTTATTCTTGAGCAATACTGAGTCAAATTTACTGTTGCATAGAAGATGATATTCCTGAAAATAAAAATAAAAACAAAAAAAAATATTTATATGCAGTTATTCTAGACATTAGATTTGTGTTTTTGATTGTTTCTCGATTGAAGTATCGGAAGATTTTTCTGATTTGAGGACCTTGAATCTATGCCCTTGAATCTATGCAAATTTTTTTTTAAGAATCGTTAATATTTGAAAAATTGGGGCTCTACTCAGAAATAAAAGAGCATGCCATAGAAGCATAACTAGTTGAATGTGGATTGCAGGCAATGTCCGAATACCACATCCTAGAACCCCGAAATTGTTTGAGGTACCGATGTGGAAAGCAAGGGGTGGAATTTTCCATTAATACCTTGTGCTAATTGGGATGGAGCATAAAATGCACCCTATTAGCCGATCATGGCTCAAAGTAAAGAAAATTAAATAACACCTTGTGGAAGAATTCAAAGTTTTGAATTAAAATTTTAAGAGCTAATGGTAGAGAGGTCCTTATTTCAGTTCTGTCTGAAGTTACAGAGGTCGAGAGCAAAAGAAAGAACAATTTGATGTTTAAGAATTACTTTCCCTCTAAAAAGAAAATAAAATAAAAATAACAATAATAATAATAATAATAAATTCAGGAATTTGATTCTTTGTTGTCAAGGGTAAAATTGATCCATTTCTTTGCTTGGAGACAAACAATCATTCAAGTTCGGGGGAATTTGATAAATGCTTTCTATACTTGATCCTACATTGTAATTCATGAATGATAATTGAGAGTTTTAAGCTATTCATTGAGAAAATTTACTATTATTAATTTCATTTTATTCATATTTCAGGAAAAAGGATCAAGAAGTGAAAGCCTTAAAGATGTCGAGAATTGAAGAAAAAGAAACCAGAGATATATACGGGCAAGTACATGCCTGTGTATATGAGCGTGTATCTCACTGGTCGCGTCAATTGAAGTGTATCATCAAAACCAGAGATGTACACGGCCAGATACATGGCCGTGTACATGAGCGTGTACTTTTATGGAAAGCTTTGAAGGGCATCTATTAGAAAACAGAGATGTACACGGCCAAGTACATGGCCGTGTACTTGGGCATGTACTTTTACGCGCGTCAGAAATTTAACTTTTGCAAGAAAATTAACCCTAGGATAATTCCTATAAAAGGAGAACTAAACTCAAACCTGAGGCGGTTTTTTGGAGATGAAAGACTCAGAGACGGCAAGAGGATGGGATTAAGCATTTTATTTTATCTCTTTTGTAATTTTAATTTGAAGATGTTTAGGTTCTAACTTTCCTTTGAGTATCTAGACGTAATGAATCCTAATTGACTAAATTTTCTGGAATTCTTCTAATACTATTTCATGTTCTTTTCTCTTGGGTTTAATTGAGTAGTATCAATTTTCTCTATCTTGTTTTCTTGTTTGAATTTGAGTAAAATTCCTGCATGAAATTAACATTGCTCAATTAAAAAGACTTGAATGTATTTCTAAAGATAGAAAGACGTGAGTTTTCTGTATTAGGATTAACCCTAATTATGGAATTCATAATGAACTTAATGCAACCTAGGGGTATTAATTAAGGAAGAGATTCCGATTAATCAACTGAGGGTTAGGAATCATTATCCTTGAGAAAGGTATTGATTTAATTTGAAATTTACTGCAGCGATAAGGGTTTGGAACTAAGTAGTTGAAGAAGAATCTCAGTTATTTGGACACTTAGGGGGATTTACAGTCTAGATACTTGCCTTTTTACATTGAATACCTTTAGTCATAATTTTCTATAATTTATTTTCACTAGAATATCTGTTCCTTTTAATTTATTATTCTTTTACTTCTAGCAATTTCATCAACAAGGTTTATTTTTCATATTTATTAACAATTACGCAATTAAGGAAAAGTTTCTTAATAACAGTCCCTGTGGATACGACACTTGGTACTTTAATTTTAATTTTAATAATATTACTTCGACAACGGGTACACTTGCCCAGTGATCAGATTTTTACACACCAGTCAATTGCTTCATGAGCTCCTCCAAAGATAGTTCATCTTTCTGGGATGCATTTGGTTGTGAAGAAGATGGTTAGTGATGGTGCTGGGTTTGTTGTGGTTGATGTTGGGATTGATGGGATCTATTTGGGCCAACATGATGTGCTTGGTATTGAGTGCTTTGCTGCTGATTATGCTGTTGAGAATTGTTTCTCCATCTTAGATTTGGATGGTTCCTCCAACCTGGGTTGTATCTATTGGAAGATAGATCCCAATTGGGCTGTTGCTGCAAATTTGGAAAAGGAAATTTATTAGTGTAAATGTTTGCAGCATAAGCTTGAGGATTACCTTCTAGAGTGTCAGACTCTTGTAGTGTGGGACAGCTATCAGTGTAGTGGTCTGTAGCTGAACAAATGCCACACAACATGGCTGGAACAGATGGTGGAGGAGGTGAAGGTGTAGCAACACTCTTTTGCATGGAAGCCAATTGCTTCACCATGGATGCTAATTTATCAAGTTTGTGTTCCAGCTTACTAGATTCAACAACTTGTACTTCACTCACATTTCTGGTAACACAAGAATTTTGCCTTGTTGCAAATTGTTGGGTGTTGGCGGCCATGTTCTCAATCAAGTTGCGGACTGCAACCGGAGTTTTGTCAACCAACGCCCCTTCACTTGCGGCATCTATCATGCTTCGGTCCATAGGATGCAGTCCCTCATAGAAGTATTGTATCAACAATTGATCACTAATTTGGTGATGGGGGCAGCTAGCACACAACCTCTTGAATCTTTTCCAATATTCATAGAGGGTTTCTTTTTCAAGTTGTCTTATCCCACATATTTCCTTTCTTATGGATGCAGCTCTTGATACTGGGAAAATTTTCTCCAGGAAAAGTCTTTTCAAGTTATCCTAACTAGCAATAGATCCTGGAGGAAGATAGTAGAGCCAATCCTTGGCTGCATCCATCAGAGAGAACGGAAAAGTCTTTAATTTGACATGCTCATCAGGCACACTTTGTGGCCTCATGGTTGAACAAACAATGTGGAACTCCTTGAGATGTTTGTGCAGATCATCACCTGCAAGGCCATGAAATCTTGGCAACAAGTGTATTAGTCCAGTCTTTAGTACAAAAAGAGTATCAATGTCAGGATACTGTATGCATAAAGTTTGATATGTTACATCCGGTGCAGCCAGCTCCTTTAATGTTCTTTCATTGTCAGCCATTTTTTCAATTTCAAATTTTAATGAATGAGGTGATGAATATATAGATGAAGGAGATGAAGACTCCTTAAAATGTTCAAAACTATTCCTATGTGTTCTAATGCTACTATGAAATGTCCTATCAATCTCTGGATCAAGTGGATACAAGTCTCTAGGATTTGATCTGGTCATGCACTAGAAATTAACTATGAACAATGGAAAGAAGTAAACTAGATGAAATAGCAAAAATTGCAGAAAAATTCAGATAGCAATTATGCAGAAAAACTAATAACTAAGTGCAGTAAAATAAAGCATTAACACTAAACAGCAAAAACAAAAAGAGGTTGCAACTATGGCACGAAAATATGCAACACACAAGTACAAATTCTGCAGAATTCTGCAGCAAAAACAGGGCAAAATGTAGAAAAATTGAAAACAGAACACTAAAACAGAGCAACTAACAAGTTCAATGCAAAATTAACACCAAAGTCCTCGGCAACGGCGTCAATTTGATAATACGCAAAATTTTTGTTTCGTTTTGCAAAAAGATTTGTCGTCAACCTTCATCAAAATATGCAGAAAAAGTTTGTAGTATCTAGGGTGCAAGCCTAGGTTGTCTTCAACGACTTTGGTTTGTAACATACATTGAACATGTTGTGAACATTTACTATGAAAGCAATTAAAACAAAGGGGTTTTGTGTAATTCCAATTTTAATGTAAAGGCAAGTGATGAAATTAATGAATCCAATCAATGAAATATGCAATCCTTAGTTTGTTCATATAATTCTATCCCTATCCCTCTCAAGATTCAATACTTTTCCTATTCCTCTGAATTAGGGTAACTCAAAAAGCAAGAATTAACCTTAATATCCCATACCAATTAAGCAATTTACATGGGCTCCAATCTCTCATCCCCAAGATTACGCAACCTTAGAAATCAACTTAGTATTAAGCAAACTAAGTTAAGAATTTCATTAAAATGAATTGGGGTTAATTAAGTAATGTCCCCCTCATTCGACCATTAATTCAATTCAAAGAGTTGAGAAATGTAAATTCATGAAGAAAACGGAATTATATTGACATTCATACCCAAGAATTCAAGAATCCATGAACTCACTAAGGATTAGAAGAAAGTTTATCCCTCCATAGGGATGGGTCTTACAAATTCAAGATGGAAACAAAGGGAAATCAACATCATAATGCAAGAATTAAAGGAAAATTAAGAGAAATTGTAAATCAAACCCTAAGATTGGCCTTGGCTATCACCCAAGGATCCTAAGCTCTGCAAAATGCTCCCAAATTGGCAAAAGAATCTAAAGTTATGTAAAAAGCTCTGTACCCTAATTTCTCAAATCCTATTTATAGTGCAGAAATTTTTGCCCGAAGTGACTACTATAGTTTCATAGTGATAATGCAGATAAGGATGGAAGCGCTTGTTTAATGTCGCGAGCCTGACATCTTGTCTGTGCTAATCAAGTATTATCGTGTGACCAGGAGGGGTCACATTCTCTATATATAGCTTCTCTCTCAGCCCATTGATACGGAAAGGTTCCTCTCCATGCTTGGACACTTCTAGAACTCCATATGGGAGAACTTTGACCACATTGTAGGGGCCATACCATCTGGATTTCAGTTTTCCAGGAAATAGTTGCAACCGAGAGTTGTAGATCAAAATCCTATCACTTGCTTGGAAACTCCTATGATAAATGTGTTTATCATGCCATTTCTTAGTGCGCTCTTTGTATAACTTGGCATTTTCAAATGCTTCAAAACGTAACTCGTCCAATTCATTGAGCTGCAACAATCTCTTCTCACCTATAACCTGCGAATCAAAGTTTAAGAACTTCAAGGCCCAGTAGGCCTTGTGTTCAAGCTCAACAGGTAAGTGACATGCTTTACCAAAAACCAAACGATAAGGAGACATACAAATAGGGGTTTTGAAAGTAGTGTGATAAGCCCAGAGTGAATCATCCAATTTCAAAGACCAATCTTTCATGGAGTTGTTAACAGGACGCTCTAAAATTCTTTTCAATTCCTTATTAGATATCTCAACTTGCCCACTAGTTTGAGGATGATAAGGAGTGGCCACTTTATGGTTGACACCATATTTTGTTAAAAGAGCTTCAAATTGTTTATTACAAAAATGGGTGCCACCATCACTAATAATAGCCCTAGGGGTTCCAAATCTAGTGAAAATATTTTTCTTTAAAAATTTAGAAAAATATATATTCATTTAGAAACATAATCAACAGCTACTAATATATATTCATTATGCATGGATTTGGGGAAAGGCCCCATGAAGTCTATGCCCCAGACATCAAATAATTCACAAATCAAGATATTACTAAGAGGCATTTCATGTTTCCTAGATATATTTCCACTTCTTTGACACCTATCAGAGGACTTAATATATAAATGAGCATCTTTAAACAAAGTAGGCCAATAAAAACCACACTGCAAGATCTTATGAGTGATTTTCGACGGGCCACAATGACCTTTCACCTCCTTAGAATGGCAATGATTAAGAATCTCATTAACCTCACTCTCTGAAACGCACCTCCTAATCATATTGTCCCCACAAATCTTAAAAAGATAAGGTTCATCCCAAATATAATGCTTCACATCAGACCAAAACTTTCTAAGCCTATGCTTGTCAAGTAGTTTAGGAGTTACATTACCTGCCAGATAATTTACAAAATCTGCATACCAAGGTGCCTTAGAGATTGCGAGGAGCCTCTCATCAGGAAAAGAATCCTTGATCTCCTTCACTGTGGGTTCCCTCACTGAAGCATCCAGTCGAGACAAATGATCTGCTACGACATTCTCACTCCCTTTCTTATCTCTAATTTCTACATCAAACTCTTGGAGAAGAAGAATCCATCGTATAATCCTTGGTTTAGCATACTGTTTTGACAACAAATACTTGATGGCAGAATGGTCAGTAAAGACAACAACTCTGGACATTATCAAATAAGAACAGAATTTATCAAATGCAAAGATAACAGCAAGTAATTCCTTCTCTGTAACGGTGTAATTACGCTGAGCGTTATCCAAGGTTTTACTTGCATAGTAAATAGCCTGAAACACCTTATCTCGCCTTTGCCCTAGAACTACTCCCACAGCTGCATCACTAGCATCACACATTAGCTCAAAAGGTAAAGACCAGTCAGGAGCTACAATCACAGGAGCAATCGTTAATTTCTCTTTTAAATTCATGAAGGCAGATAAACATGTTTCATCAAATTTAAATTCTACATCTTTAGCTAACAATTCAGAAAGAGGTTTTGCTATTTTTGAGAAGTTTTGTATGAACCTCCTATAGAACCCAGCATGCCCTAGAAAACTTATGACTGCCTTAACGCTTGTAGGGGAGGAAGTTTAGAAATAACCTCAATCTTGGCAGGGTCTACTTCAATACCTCGTCCTGACACCTTGTGCCCCAAAACAATGCATTCATCCACCATAAACTAGCACTTCTCCCAATTTAAAATCAAATTGGCCTTCCTGCATCTCTGTAAAACTAAATTCAAGTTATGTACACAACTATCAAATGTGGTGCCATATACAGAAAAATCATCCATAAAAATCTCAATACAATGACCTAACAAATCTGAAAATAAAGCCATCATACACCTTGAAAGGTAGCAGGGGCATTACATAATCCAAATGGCATTCGTTTATATGCAAATGTACCATAGGGGCATGTAAAAGTAGTTTTTTCTTAATCTTCAAGAGCTACGGGTATTTGCATATAACCAGAATAGCCATCTAAACAACAGTAATATTCATGCCCTGCTAACTTCTCTAATATCTGATCAATAAAGGGTAGAGGGAAGTGATCCTTCCTAGTGGCTTCATTAAGCTTCTTGTAGTCAATACACATCCTCCATCCGGTTACCTTTCTGATGGCTATGAGCTCGTGTTGCTCATTCTACATAACAGTAGTCCCTCCTTTCTTCGATACAACCTGCACAGGACTTACCCAAGGGCTATCAGAGGTTGGGAATATGATATCAGCATCAAATAACTTAATTACCTCCTTTTTACTACTTCTTTCAGATTAGGATTTAATCGCCTTTGGGGTTGTACTTTTGGTTTGAACTCCTCCTCCATGTGAATTCTATGAGTGCATATGGAAGGACTGATGCCCTTAATGTCATTGATGCTCCACCCGAAAGCCTCCTTGTTCTCTCTTAGTACTCTCAGAAGCTTCTCCTCCATGCTACCTGTCAAATTGGCAGAAATAATTATAGGTAAGTGAGATGGAGGGTGTAAAAAAACATATTTAAGATTCGAAGGAAGAGGCTTGAGTTCTAGTTCAGGAGGTTCTTCGACTGATGGCTTGGCTCTTTTCTGGGAATGTTCTCCTAAATCTTTAAATATCCTTCATTCGAACCATCTTCCAGGTACCCCACTGTTCAATACTAAGATCTCATCGATTATCTCTTCAGTGTCGTGTAAATCCCTCCTTTCTAATGTAAGTATTCTCTCCAATACATCTTTCATTAATCCATCTTGTACCTGTGACACATTCATAGAGAGAGAGGTAACATTTGTAGTTGACACAAAATTACACGAATCAAAAGTGGAGGGATGCTTAAGTGAATTAAAAACTTTAAATACTACTTCCTCTTCGTTCAATCTTAATGTAAGCTTCCCCTGCTGAACATCTATTATCGTTCTTCCTGTAGCTAGGAAAGGCCTTCCTAGTATGATGGGTACTTCGTCATCCTCTTCTATGTCAAGGACAATGAAATCTGCAGGGAATATGAACTTATCCACCTTGACCAGGACATCCTCCATTATGCCCCTAGGATACGTTATCGAGCGATCAACAAGCTGCAGAGAAATTGAGGCTGGCTTGGGTTCCTACATACCCAACCTTCTAAACACAGAAAATGACATTAGATTAATACTAGTGCCTAGATCACAGAGTGCTTTATCAAAATAAGAGTTGCCTATTGTGCATGGAATTGTAAAACTCCCTGGATCCTTAAGCTTAGGTGGCAGCTTTCTTAGCAATATTGCTGAGCACTCCTCATTTAATCTGACTGTCTCGAATTCTTCCAATTTCCTTTTGTTGCTTAGCATCTCTTTAAGGAATTTAGCATATTTAGGCATCTGTGAAATGGCTTCAACAAAAGGGATATTGATGTGGAGTTTTCTGAGAATCCCAAGAAATTTATTAAACTGAGGGTCTCTCTAGGTAGCCATTAACCATTGTGGAAATGGAACTTTCGACCTTGGCATCATTAATGCATCATCCTTTGCTTCTTTTTTCATATCTGATTGGCAAGCACGGCCTTGCTCATCATCAAGCACGGCCGTGTTCTCTGTAAGCACGGCCTTTGTGGGTTAAGCATAGGCGTGCATTCAGTGTCAGCATGGGCGTGCTTTTCAAAGCACGACCGTTCTTATTGAGCCAACATGGGCGTGCAGGGTGATGCAAGGGCGTGCTGATCAACAAGCACAAGCGTGCATGGATTATGTGGTTGCGTTTCACTCAAGTTTTTTCCAACTTCTTAAAGTAATTGCTTTAGCTTGTTCCTTAGGATTCGGTTCTGGTTGGGATGGCAATGTTCCTAGTGCTCTTTGACTGAGAAGACTTGTGATTTGCTCCAACTAGGATTCAAGCTTTGAAGATTGAGTCCTCATCTCAGCTCTGATTTCTGCAAACCTCTTATCTTCCTTCTCAATCTATTGTTCCATTTGTGCCTCCAGTTTTTCTATTCTCTTGTCAGAGTTATGCACGTATTGCATCATCTGTTCTTGAAAATTGGATTGGAATCTAGGAGCTTCTCTTCTTTCTAGCTTCTCTCCTTGATTTTGCACATGAGGAGGTCGATAGGGCGCATTCTGATTTCCCTGGCGACTTCCCCAAGGATTTGTATTACTATTGCGCCATCCTGAATTATAATTATTACCCATAAAGTTCGTCTCTTCCTTATCAAACTCTGTATTATGCGCTGACTTTGTGGGTTGATCTTGTGCTTTCATCAACCACTCCAGTTACTTTGTGAGAGCTGCCATTTAGGTTAACAGTGGGTTATTGCTCTCTGCTTGATAGACTGGCGCAACTTCTTTTCTCTTGAAGTTGTAAGTGTCTGTTGTGTGCCACTGAAAACTAGCAGATGCCATTTCATCTATCAATCTGTATGCGTCATCTGGGTCTTTCCTTATTAGAGATCCTCCTGCGGCGGCATCAATTATGGCCCTATTATGGAAGGATAGGCCACTATAAAAGATCTGTACTTGTCTCCAAGTTGGAAAGTCATGGTGCAGGCATCTTCTCAATAATTCTCCGAATCGCTCCCACGCCTCAAACAATGATTCTGTCTCATTCTGCTGGAAGCAACATATTTCTGTCATCAACTTGGACGATCTTGATGGAGGAAAGTACTTTCCTAAGAACTATTGAGTGAGATCCTCCCAAGTTGTGATGGAATTGGCTGGGAGTGAGGAAAACCATGCATTCACTCTTTCGGACACTGAAAATGGAAACAAGCGGAGTCGAATGGCATCGTTGGAGACTCCATTGTATTTTATGGTGTCCGTCAATCAGATGAACTTTGTCAGATGCAGATTGGGGTCTTTGTTAGGCAAGCCCCCAAATTGTATGGAGTTCTGAACCATGGTGATGAGTGCTGGCTTCAACTCAAAATTATTTGCCTCCATATTAGGTGCCGCGATACTTCTAGGAGTGCCTCTGGCAATGGGCATCATGTAATCTTGGATCGATCTCCTTCCCTCTGCCATTCTTTGCTCTCTCACTTCTTTTCTTTGTCTACGAACTGTCCTTTCAATTTCTGGATCAAACAAATAAGCTGTAAAACACTTAGAACGAGTGAGCATACATCAAAAGTAATAAAAAAATAAGAATAAAATAAATACAAAAATTATAAAAAATAAAATAAAAAAATTAACAATAAACAAAACAGAACTAAAATAAAGTAAAACACAGATTGCTCAAATCAATTAAATTTTAGATTTTCTTAATATTGAAAAAGCAATCCCCGGCAATGGCGCCAAAAACTTGTTCGTCGGGTAAGTGTACCCATCGAGAAGTAATAAAAGGTTTTCAACTAAGTTCCCGAAATATCGTCCCATAAGGATTGTTTATCAATTACTAAGCGTTTTTCTAATTTAATTGTTTGAGCTTCAAGGATATGAAATTAATTTAAAACCAAGAATTTATAAAATCAACTGTAAAAACTAAGAGTAAGAAACACAAAACACGTTTTGGTTAAACTTATTGGAGAGGAACCTAGGGCATATAATTATTCTCATTCAATCCTTTATGATATTCTTCTATTTAGATCTAAATCTGATTTCCTAGTGATTACTAATCATTCATACTAATACTATTAATACTCAATGGTCATGCAGTATTAATATTCTTTTTCCTAAGTTAATATCCCCAATGATCATGCAGGTTATTAATTTAGAAAAAGTCTAAGGAGCCTATGAATTTGTTAATTTAATAATGATTAGAAGATGAAGATTGGTTTGGTCTACCTAATCTTTCCTCTCGTTTTATCCTATAGATCTATTAATTACCTGAGGTACGATCACCTGACAATGTAATTAATTCGGGTGAAGAATTAGAAATGATAAGATAAATCCTAATCACAAAGTGGAAATCATATTTAGATTCAAATATCAAAATCCCATAAAGTCATAAACGATAATTCACATAGCCCTAGCTATGGATTTAGCTACTTATGTAGAAAGAAAGAACTAAAACAATCAATAACATATCTATAATGAACCAGTAAAACAAACTCGAATAAGAATTGAATCTTTAGTCTTCAAGTATGGTCACTTGAAGCTCTAAGTTCCGCCAAGTGTGTGCCAATGATCCTACGAGAAAGGTGGAAAATGATCTGAAATCTCGAAGAAAAGGTTTTGTGTAATTCTGTGCTCAGCCAAGGGTTCCCCTCATGATGCTTTTTCCCCTCCATTTATAGAATTTTTCACTTCTTTGAATTAGGCAAGTTTGGCTTACCGAACAAAGCACGACCGTGCATGATGATGCAGCACGGCCGTGCATATCATCAAAGCACCCCCGTGCTTCATTGGGCATGCTTGCTGCTGTGAGGCTTTGAGGCCCATTCATTTGGGCCCAAAATGTATCCAAAATCTACTCGTGGTCTTTTCGTATCAAACTGCGCAATTAACCACTAAATTAGTGTAAAAATCAGTTCAAATAAATGTCAAATATGAATAATTAGGCTATAAAAGAGGGCCTAATTACAGACTTATCAGTTCTTCTCCATGCTTGAATACTTCTAGTAATCCATATAGAGGAACCTTGACAACATTGTAGGGGCCATAACATCTGGATTTCAGTTTTCTAGGAAACAGTCACAGTTGAGAGTTATTGATCAGAACCCTGTCACCTGCTTGAAAACTCCTATTATAAATATGTTTATCATGCCACCTCTTAGTGCACTCTTTGTATAACTTGGCATTTTCAAATGCCTCAAAACACAATTCCTCCAATTCATTGAGCTGCAACAATCTCTTTTCACCTCTGACCTATGAATCAAAATTTAGGAACTTCAAAGCCCAGTAAGCCTTGTGTTCAAGCCCAACTAGTAAATGACATGCTTTACCGAAAACCAAATGATAAGGGGACATACCAATAGGGGTTTTGAAAGCAGTGCGATAGGCCCAAAGTGCATCATCCAATTTCAGAGACCAATCTTTCCTAGAGTTGTTAACAGTGTGCTTCAAGATTCTTTTCAATTCCTTATTAGATATCTCAACTTGCCCACTAGTTTGAGGATGATAAGGAGTGGCCACCTTATGGGTGACATAATATTTTATCAAAGAGCTTTAAATTGTTTATTGTAAAAATGGGTGCCACATATCACTAATAATAGCCCTAGGGTTTCCAAATCTAGTGAAAATATTTTTCTTTACAAATTTGATCACAACTCGAGTATTATTAGTGGGTAGTGCTACAGCCTTTACCCATTTGGAAACATAATCAACAGTTATTAATATGTACTCATTATGCATGGATTTAAGGAAAGGTCCCATGAAATCTATGCATATTACTAAGAGACATTTCATGTTTTTTGGATATGTTACCACTTCTTTGGCACCTATCACATGACTTAACAATAAATAAGCATCTTTAAATAAAGTAGGCCAGTAAAAACCACACTGCAAGACCTTATGAGTGGTTTTTGATGGGCCACAATGACCTCCCACCTCCCTAGAATGGCAATGGTTAAGGATCTCATTAACTTCACTCTCTGAAACACACCTCCTAATCATGTTGTCTCCACAAATTTTAAAGAGGTTCATCCCAAATATAATGCTTCACATCAAACCAAAACTTCCTAAGCCTATGCTTATTGGGTAGTTTAGGGGTTACATTACCTGCTAGATAATTTACAAAATCAGCATACCATGGTGCATCAGAGACTGCGAGGAGCCTCTCGTCAGGAAACGAATCCTTGATCTCTCTCTGTGGGCTCCCTTACTGAAACATCTAATCGAGACAAATGATCTGCTACAACATTCTCACTTCCTTTCTTGTCTTTAATTTCTACATCAAACTCTTGAAAGAGAAGAATCCACCGTATAATTCTCAGTTTAGCATCCTGTTTTGACAACAAATACTTAATTGCAGAATGGTCAATGAAGACAACAACTCTGGATATTATCAAATAAGAACAGAATTTATCAAATGCAAAGACAACAAGTAATTCCTTCTCTGTAACGGTGTAATTACGTTGAGCTTCGTCCAAGGCTTTACTTGCATAGTAGATGGCCTGAAACACCTTATCCCGCCTTTATCCTAGAACCACTCCCATAGCTGCATCACTAGCATCACACATTAGCTCAAAAGGTAAAGACCAGTTAGGGGCCACAATCACAAGAGCAATCATTAATTTCTCTTTTAATTTCATTAAAGCAAATAAACATGCTTCATCAAAGTTAAACTCTACATCTTTAGCTAATAAATCAGAAAGGGGTTTTGCTATTCTTGAGAATTTTTTTATAAACCTCCTATAAAACCCAACAAGCCCTAGAAAACTCCTGACGGCCTTAACACATCTAAGGGAGGTAGTTTAGCAATAACCCCAATCTTGGCAAGGTCTACTTCAATACCTTTTCCTAATACCTTGTGTCCTAAAACAATGCATTCATTGACCATGAACTGACACTTCTCCCAATTTAGAACCAAATTGGCCTTTCAATATCTCTATAAAACTAAATCCAAGTTATGTACACAACTATCAAATGTGATACCATACATAGAAAAATCATCCATGAAGATTTCAATGCAATCCTCTAACAAATCAGAAAATAAAGCCATCATACATCTTTGAAAAGTAGTGGGGCATTACATAATCCAAAAGGCATTCATTTATATGCAAATGTGCCATAGGGGCATGTAAAAGTGATTTTTTTCTTGATCTTTAGGAGCCACAAGTATTTGCATATAACCAGAATAGCCATTTAAACAACAGTAAAATTCATGCCCAACTAACTTCTCTAACATTTCATCAATAAAGGGTAGGGGGAAGTGATCCTTCCGGGTGGCTTCATTAAGCTTCCTGTAATCGATACACATTCTCCACCCGGTTACCTTTCTGACGGCAATGAGCTCCTGTTGCTCATTCTGCATGACTATGGTCCCTCCTTTCTTTAGTACAACCTAGACAGGACTCACCTAAGGGCTATCAGAGATTAGGAATATGATATCAGCATTTAACAACTTAATTACCTCCTTTTTCACTACTTTTAGATTGAAATTTAATCACCTTTGGGGTTGCACTTTTGGTTTGAATTCTTCCTCCAAGTAAATTCTATGACTGTATATGGAAGGGCTGATGCCCTTAATATCATTAATGCCCTTAATATCATGGGTAAGTGAGATGGAGGGCTTAAAAAGGCATACTTAAGATTTAAGGGAAGGGGTTTGAGTTCTAGTTCAGAAGGTTCTTCAACTGATGGCTTGATTCTTTTTCTAGAATGCTTTCCTAGATCTTCAAACATCCTTCACTCGAACCATCTTCCTGGCGCTCCACTATTTCCAATGTAAGTATCCTTTCCAATGCATCTTTTATTAATTCATCTTGTACCTACGACACATTCAGGGACAATGGGGTAGCATCTGCAGCTGTCACAAAATTACATGAATCAAAAGTGAAGGGATGTTTGAGTGAATTAAAAACTTTAAATACTACTTTCGCATCATTCAATCTTAATGTAAGCTTCCCTTGATAAACATCTATTATTGTTCTTCGTATGGCTAGGAAAGGCCTCTCTAGTTTGATGGGTACTTTGTCATCCTTTTCTATGTCAAGGACAATGAAATCTGCAGGAAATATGAACTTATCTACCTTGACCAGAACATCCTCCACTATGCCCTAGGATATGTTATCGAACGATCAACAAGCTGCAAAGATATTGAAGTTCGTTTGGGTTCTTGCACACCCAACCTTCTAAACACATAAAATGGCATTAAATTAATGCTAGCGCTCTATCAAAATAAGAGTTGCCTATAGTTCGTGGAATCATAAAACTCCTTGGATCCTTAAGCTTAGGAGGCAGCTTCTTTAGTAGAATTGCTGAGCATTCCTCATTCAATCTGACTGTCTTGAATTCTTCCAATTTTTTTTTTTTTTTTGCTTAGCATCTCCTTGAGGAACTTAGCATATTTAGGCATCTGTGAGATGGCTTCAACAAAACGAATATTGATGTGGAGCTTTTTGAGGATCGCGAGAAACTTATTGAACTGTGGGTTTCTCTATTTACCCATATATCGTGCGAAAATGGAACTTTCGGCTTCAGCACAGTTGATGCATCCTCCCTTGTTTCTTTTTTTGCATCTGGGTGGTAAGCACGGCCTTGCTCATCATTGAGCATGGCCTTGCTTTCGTTGAGCACAATTGTGCCTTCATTGTCTACATGGGTGTGTTGTTCTATGCACGGTCATGCTGTATCAAAAAGCATAGGCGTGCAGGGTGATGCAAGGGCGTGCTCCTCTATGAGCATAGGTGTGCATGACTTGTATGTTTGTGTTCCAATGAGGCTCTTCCCACTTCTCAAGGTAATAGCCTTTGCTTGTTCCCTAGGATTTGGTTCTGGTTGGGATGGTAATATTCCTAATGCTTTCTGACTGAGGAGACTCGTGATTTGCTCTAACTGAGACTCAAGCTCTGAAGACTAGGTCCTCATCTCAGATTTGATTTTTGCAAACCTCTTATCTTCCCTCTCAATTTGTTGTTCCATCTGGGCCTCAAGTTTTGCTATTTTTTCGTCAGAGTTGTGCATGTATTTCATCATCTGTTCTAGAAAATTGGATTGAAATCTGGAAGCTTCTTTTCTATCTACCTTCTCCCCTTGACTTTGCACATGGGGAGGGCGATATGGCGCATTCTAATTTCCTTGGTGATTTCCCCAAGGGGTTGTATTGCTATTACGCCATCCTGGCTTACAGTTATTACCCATGAAGGTAACCTTCTCTTGATCAAACTCTGTATTATGTACTGACTTTGTGGGTTGATCTTGTGCCTTTATTAAGCACTCTAGTTACTTTGTAAGGGCTGCCATCTGACTTATCGGAGGTTGTTCTGAGGTTATACAAGTCAGTTATGTGCCACTAAAAGCTGACAGATGTCATTTCGTCTATCAATTTGAATGTGTCATCTGGGTCTTTCCTTATAAGAGATCCTCCTGCTACGGCATCCATCGTGGCCCTGTTATTGATGGATAGGCCACTGTAAAAGATTTGCATCTGCCTCCAAGTTGGAAAATCATGATGCGGGCATCTTCTCAACAGTTCCCCAAATCGCTCTTGTGCCTCAAATAAGGATTTTGGTTCATATTGCTGGAAGCAACATATCTCTGTCATAAGCTTAGAGAACCTTGATGGGGGAAAGTACTTTCCCAAGAATTATAGATGAGATCCTCCCAAGTTGTGATGGAATTGGCTGGGAGTGAGAAAAATCATGCATTTACCTTTTCAGATACTAAGAAGGGGAAAAGGGCATCATTGGAGACTCCATTATACATTATGGTGTCCGTCAATCGGAAGAACTTTGTTAGATGTAGATTGAAGTCTTCGTTCGGCAATGCACCCAAACTGTATGGAGCTCTGGACCATGGTTATGAGTGCTAGTTTAAGTTCAAAGTTGTTGGCCTCCATACTAGGGGCCGCAATGCTTCTAGGGGTGCCTCTAGCAGTAGGTGTCATATAATCTTGAATTGATCTTTTTCCCTCTACCATTCTTTGGTCTCTCGCTTCCTTTCTTTGTCTACAGACTATTCTTTCAATCTCCAGATCAAATAAACAAGTTGTAGAACACTTAGAACGAGTGAGCATACACTAGAAAGAATTATGAAATAAAATAAAAAAATTAAAATAAAATAAAATAAAAATAAAAATTATAAAATAAAAAAAAAGTTAACAATAAACAAAAATAGAATTAAAATAAAGTAAAACACAAATTGCTCAATTCAATTAAATTTGAGATTTTCTTAATATTGAAAAAGCAATCCCCGACAACGGCGCCAAAAACTTGTTGGGAAAGAGGTAAACAAATCAAATCTATACTAAAAGTCTTACCATGTATCATTGCGGGACAGCCTAGACACACAAAAGAGGTTGTTACAAGCTTACCCACAAGAGTAGATTGTTCAAAGGGCAAGTGTATCGATCGAAAAGTAGTAAAGGGTTCTTAGATTAAGTTCCCAAAATATCGTTCCACAAGGATTGTTTTTCAATTACTAAGAATTTCCTAATTTAATTATTTAAACTTCAAAGATATGAGATTAATTAAAACAAGAATTTATAAAATCAATTATTAAACGAAGAGCAGGGAACAATGCACGTCTTGGTTAAACTTATCGGAGAGGAACCTAGGGCCTATGAATTTTCTCATTTAATCTTTTATGTTATTTTTCTGTTTAACTCTATATCTAATTTCCTGGTGATTACCAATCATTCATCTGAATACTATTAACGCCCAATGGTCATGCAACATTGATATTCTTTTCTCTAAATTAACATCTTTAATGGTCATGCAAGACATTAATTTAAGAAAGCGTTGTGCACTTATGAACTTGTTAATTTAATAACAATTAGAAGGGGGAACATTAGTTTGGTCTACCTAATTCCTTGTCTCGTTTTACCCTATAGATCTATTAATTAACCGAGGTATGGTCGCCTAACGATATAATTAATTCAGGATTAAGAAAGAAGTACAATAGGGTAAAATCTAATCACGAACGGAAATAAAACTTAGATTTAGAAATTAAAACCCCATAAATTCATAGACGATAGTTCCCATAGCCCTAGCTATGGACTTAGTTACTCATGTTAAGAGAAAGAGCTAAAACAATCATAAACACATCCATAATGAAGAGAAATTGCAAACTAGAACATGAAATGAATTCCCGGTCTTCAAGTATGGTCGCTTGAAGCTCCAGTTTCTGTCAAAAGTATGCCAAGGATCCATGCAGAAGAGACGAAAATGATAGATATCTTGAAAAGTAAGGTTGTATGTAAAATGATATTCACACCCTTTTTATAGGGTTGAGACTCCTTTAAACCTCTCAAGATTGGGTTTCCCGCAAACGAGCACGGCCGTGCAAGGTAATAAGCACGACCGTGCATTCCCTCGAAGTACCCTTGTGCTTATTGGGCATGCTTACTGCTGCGAGACTTTAATCTTTGTCAATTTGGGCCCAAAATGTACCAAAAATCCACTTCTTGCTTCCTTCTACCAAACTGCACAATCAATATATAAATTTGTGTAAAATCTAAATGAAATAAAGGTCAAATATGAATATATGGCTGTAAAATAGGGCCAAATTACAGACTTATCATAGATACAATAACATCATAAGACAATTTAGATACAGGTAATTCCACAATCTCATACAAACCAAAGAAATAAAGGAATGTGTAGCACCAGAATCAAACAATACATCTAAAAGTCGGCCTTTTATGATACATTTACCTCTAATAAGTTCCTCTAATTTTGAAGTCTCAGCTTCACTCATAGCAAAGACCTTGCCTCGCACATTTGGGTTCATTCCAGTGCTTCTCCTAGATTCAGGCCTTTGTACCACACTCATACTTCCACTCTTTTGTGGAGCAAACCAACAGACACTTGCAAAGTGTCCTACCTTTCTACAAATGTCACATGTTGTTAGAAGTTGAGGACAATTCCTCATGAGGCCCATGACATTTGAAACATTTTAGTGGCCTTCTGAAAGAACTAGAACTACCTCCACTATCTTCCTGAGATACACTCCCCTTCACTTGAGACTGATTTAGACTAGAGTAAGGTCCTCTAGAAAATCTTGGCGGTCTTCGATCTTGCCTTACAGGACCACCAACTTTGGTATCCACCATCTTGCCCTTAGTATTGACTTCAAATATCCACTAGAGTGGGTAAATCTGTAAATTGGAATATGCTAACAGTAGCTCGGACTCTGACCTCGACTCATGCTCAAATTGAGCACATAAATCTTCCTCTCCATTATCATGTTAATAATGGGGCCAATATTTCATTAGTTAATGAAATTTAGCAGCATATTCACCTATAGACCATACAATAGAGTTAAAAGTCATTCTGAAAGCTCAAAAGATGTCGACAAATGGAATGAAGCTTGTTAGTAGCTTTAGTTTTTTCACGGTTGGAGTATATTCAAAAGCTTACTCTGATCCATCTAACTCCAAACTAAGGGAATGTTTTATTTGATTAAAGGCCTTAAGTCATAGCCGAGCTAAGGCGCTCAATTTTGAACTTTACACAGAACGCGCTCTTTCTTCTTTCCTATGGCTTACTTCATGTTTCCTTGTTTCAATTCAAGGAAATCTCTAGCCTTTTATTTCTTTAAATCTCTAAGGAAATAATTTCTTAGGAAGCTTGCCTTGAATGCTTCCCAAGGAATATAACCATCTTCTTGTAGTAAAGTTTGACTAGCAAATCTCCACCAATCCTTGACCATACAGGTAGCATAAATTACCTTATGTTCCTCTTTACATCTCATGGCATGAAAAATCTTTTATATATCTGCTATCCACCTCTGAGCTCTCTTAGGATCAAACATTCCCTTAATTTTTGAAGGGTTATGCTGAGTAAAAGAAGAGAGTCCTCTATACTCAGCTGGTTCAGCTTCTTGGTTATATGCCAAAGTCTCTAGGACTTGGTCATGTGCTCCAAGAGTTCATTTGTAGCACCAGATGTCTACTTCTACCAGCCATAACTCTAATCTCGCAATAAACTCAAATCACTTATTAATCTATCATTTGCATACATGTAGATGCATCTAGTTCAAACAATTCACATTTAACAAGTCATACTAGCAAACAATCATTTCATATTCCAGTATAACTATTATACAACACAGACGTATTAGTCCCACCTTAGTTTAGTCTGGATGAACTGCTCTAATACCAAAATTGTAATGCCTTATATTTCTTTTCTATATTTATAATAATTTTTATAAAAATTTAAATGATAAAATAAATTTCTTTCGTAAACTTTCTAATGAAAAAGAAGCAATGAAATAATATATGATTCATAGAGTAAGAATTTCATTAATTCATAAGTACTTTAGAAAATTAAAATTCTAAAGTTTCATCTGCAATAGAGAAAATAATAGTTTTACAACTATTTCAAAAGAATGCTATAGAACCGAAAGTATTTATTACATAACTCAAAATAACTAAGTCCTATAGCAGTTTTCATCCATTCATGCACTGTGAGTTGGTACTACTCGTCCTAGTTTCCTGAAAATGTTGTGTAGGGGTGAGTCTCTACTCTACCACTCATACATAACACATATTCATCATAACACGCATCTCATCACAATTAAAGAAAACATCATGGTATTACATATCACAGTGTCACATAAAGCAAGTTCTCATCTCTACACATGTACATATTATGTTTCATAGATTTACAATTCCTTTTTCATTATCCGCAATTATCGCGCCCTATGGCCATATTAGGTCTTACACATTCATATAAATAGTCGTCAAATGGTCTAATGCGATACGGATAAAAACACATGCAATAGACAGCCCTTTAGCAAAAGTAATGGTCAGAGTCAAGTTGAGAAACAAGTGTGCGACCATGTGGTGCATTCGTCCATAATATTCTGTGCACAACTCCGAATGTCACTCACAACCTTGTATTTCCCTCAAATATCCCATATCGTCTCTATCTTCCACACCCCTAGTATATCTTTATAACTATTTATATCATATTTATTTTCATCTCATACTCTTTTTGAGTATGTTCACATGTTTACATATGTCATTTCTCATGTTTATACATATTTTTAATTATATTTTCACATACTTTTCATCATATACATCAAACTATGGCATATTCATAATAATACACTTCATTTTTACATGAATCACGATATATTCAAACATGTAGCATCCATCTATTTGTATCTTTCATTACACAAAATCACATCATATCAATCATCCTCAATATACCTTATCATGCACTATTTGAACATAATAACATATTTTTACCATATATCTTCATATATTTATCATAGAATTACAAAAACAACCAATTATTCTCACCTTTTCATCGATTATTTTTCACAAAACAAAGATTATTTCGCATATAATCACATACATAACAAGACTTATAAGAACATAATTAGTAATATACATAACAAAATAATAAAGTAGGGTCCCTCTTACCTTAAGCTAAGAATTTCTCAAAGATTTAACTGAAGATTTTGCTCTAAAATCAAAGTTTATCCTAAAAACCATGAGATATCTTTAAGAAATTTGAGATGAAGTGGAATAAATAGTAAATCTAGATTCAAACTTAGAGAAACTTACTTTGAATCGCTTAGAATAAGCGTACGATCCACGATCTAGAGAGAAATCTAAGTTTAGAGGGATTTAATACAAGAGAAAATGAGAATATAAGGGTTTGGGTCTCTTGAGAGCTTAAGGGAAGTTAAGAAATAAAAATTTTCGTTCATAGGGACCCCTTTATATAGATCTTACTTCGCAAACCGCCATAGATTTCACTTGAGCGAAAATATCTCGCATAAGTGAGATTTGCCGACATCGCCCTCGCTTGAGTGAAAGGCCTCTAAAAATGAAGGTTTGAGATTCTTTCTTCTCCCTTGAGTGAGATTTCATGTACTTCACCTCCATCAAACACTTAGAAATTCAATCCAAACTCATTCCAATCACACTTAATATTAAATAATTCTTCAATTAATACTTAAAAATATTAGGTGTTACATAATATATAACCTTAGCATCCTTCTTCTTTTATAAACCTGAATAATGTAAGACTTATTCCAAGAAGTTTTATTCCAATCAACTCCAATAACTTTTAATGGAGAAAAGTTAATAAATTATAATAAAACGAATAAAATGACAACATATATTGGATTATTATTCCAAGAGTGCAAAAGACTTATGTTAATCCTAACAAATTTACTTTGAGATGTACGACTTAATACATGCATGATTATTCAAATTGTAACGGAAGTAGAAGCATGTTAAGCATTGAAATAGATTGAAGTGGAAATTGATGCTGTTCTGTGTTCATCATCTTCCATTATCCATGGCAATCAATACATGATCTCTCAAGCTGTCATATCCAGTATTTTGATGGTCACTACTATCACCATGTCCACGAATGCTATGTGCCTCATGAAGTAAGTATTGGGTCTCCTCATGCTCTTGGTTTGTATTGGTCCATGTGTGCTCTTCCACGAGTTTTATTCTATCTAACTCCATTGCCACTTCCTTCATGCTAGGTCTTTCATCCCCTCTAAGTCTCAAGCACCTGGAAGCAAGAATAGCAACCTCTATGACCTGTTCTTTATTTTCTATATTCAAAAAGTCAACTTGAATAACTTCAAACAAGCGATCCTCTTTCAAGCAAGATAGAAAGTGCACAGCAAGACTTCTTTTCTCTTCTGCCTTATCAAAAGAAAAAGGCTTCTCCCCAGTAAGCAATTCTACAAGCACTACCCCGAAGCTATAAACATCACTTTTCTCAGTCAATTGGCTAGTTTGCATATACTCTGGGTCTAAGTAGCCAAAAGTTCCTTGCACAATTGTGGCTATTTCAGTATGGTCAAGTGGAACCAATCTTGAAGCTCCAAAATCAGACACTTTGGCAGTGTAAGTGTGATCTAAGAGGATGTTGGCAGTCTTGACATCTCTATGGATGATGGGTATTGAAGCTGCTGAATGCAAATATGCTAATGCTCCCGCTGCCTCTGCTGCTATCCTTAAACGAGTTTTCCAAGATATATTAGTTGTTTCCTTGCCTTTGTGTAAGTAACCAAAAAGGGTACCATTGTTAACAAATTCATAGACCAATAAAGGAACTTCTGTCTCTAAACAACAACCCAAGAGTTTGACCACATTTCTATGATTAATTTGTGATAGCACAACCACCTCATTAATGAATTGTTCAATTTGGCTCTGATCCATTACTTTAGATTTCTTGACAGCAACAATCCTATGATTTGAAAGAAAACCTTTGAAAACTGTACCATAACCTCCTGAACCGGTAATCATGCTTTCGTTGTAATTGTTGGTGGCTTTCTTAAGTTGCTCGGATGTGAAAATCGTAGTACACTGGGACGAGTCTTCTCTTACTGAGAGTTGTTGTTTCAGAATGATACCACCATTTTGCCGAAAGAACCTCTCCTTTAATTTGATGAGTTTCCTTTTTTGGTATATCAGGTATAACCAGGAAGTCCCCATAAGTAAAGCCATTAATCCTGCACCTACCCCATAAGTAAGTGTGCTGTTAAAATACAAGTATATAGCAATAAAAGGGCAGAAACACTAAACTAAAAAAATTTGCTTACCAATGGCAACCTTGGTAAATATATCATCTCGCAGCTTTGGTTGGCATCCTCCACCTTCTCTCGTTCCATTTCCAACTTGTCCTTCAGGACAGAAACATTCGAAAGACCCATCTTTTTCACGACAATTATTTTCACTTATGCAATTGTGTAATTTGCCATTCTTACATTGCTTGATATCTACAAATATGTAATAAAAATTAATAATAATTTCGTAAAACAAAAATAATAATAAATGACTACTTATTCCTTTAAAGCAATTTATTAAATAAAAATTTTATTCTTAATTAGCACACTTATTTTATTATTTTACATTTAATATAGAAACAAAAATGCATAGAAAGAGAAAACTCACCAATCCAGTTTCTATATATAAAAAAACGAAGTAAAAATTGAAAAGGAAATATACAATTTTAAATTATGAAACGACTTTACACCCTTTAGTAGTATTTTATTATTAAATTTCTAATGTCAATTCATACATAGTACAAGTCAATCAAAGATACTGTGTGCTTGGAAATTATATATGGGATATTTTTAATATATTATTTTACATTGTTTCTTCTTTAAACAATGAAGTAACGAAAGCACATGGTTTGAATTCACATTGTCTCTCTATATACGTGTATATGTATAAGTTTAAATTAACTGAGGTTTATATTAAATAAAATTTTGGGTAAAATAGAAACACAAAATATTTTAAGTGTTAATTTTTAGATATATTTTAAGAATGCATATATATAAAAGTATTATATGTGCCAATGAATATCATAATTAAATTTAAAATAAATAATGAAAAGATAAAAGTGAAGTACGGAAACAAGAAAGAAAGGTCAATGTTGAACATAATTAGTTACCTTGACAACCAAGAGGATGGTACGGGTTTCCATCAAAACCTTCTTTATATTTGCAAAGGTAACCAGATCCACTGGCCGAGTCTTGGCAATCGCTGTTGACTGCACACGCATAGTCATCTTTAAGCTTTGAAATTTCATCACACGTCTTATTTCCAACACTCCAATCAACAACAAACGGAGCCTTCTCGAATGGGAAGCTTTTCAAATGTTTCTTAGAAAAGGTGTAGTTTCCTTTCTTAACAACAAAGGAAAAGCTACAATCGTTAAATTCCCACGTGTGATTGAAATTGCTAAAGCTAAATGCTTGCACGCTGATATTCTTCATTCCTCGAGGAATATCAACCTGGCAACACCCCACTCCCGTGCAGTTTCCATCACTCATCAGCGTAGCTATATCTATGCTACTACACCGAGTCAAGCAACCCGTTGAAGATTTCTCCCCATTATAAAAATTATTGAGATAACCGAAAGTGTCGCAACCTACGCTTATGAATGTGTTATTAGTGCTGGAAATTGGAAAAGCTGGTACATAAAGTGTGGACAAGTTACCACTACTTGTTGTGTTATACGACCCACTTTTGCTAACATGGGAGACGTAGGCTAGCATGTCCATTTTGTTGAATAAACTTAAATATCGGTTTTAATTAGTTTTAATTCAGCAGTTTTTTGTTAGAATAAAAGATCAAGAGTTAGCAGTTATGTTTTTTTGATAAATGGTTATAATGGGTTTTGATTGTAGTTTATAGCTATTAATAGAATTTAAGTTTTTTATTTTATAAATAGATCATTGTATTATTTGACAAAAAGTGTGAGAAATATACAAACAATTTTTTCTCCCCTATCGATTTTCAATTCTACAATTTGGTATCAAGAGCCTATGGCGAGTGTTACCAATAATGTGCCACTGCCTCGACTAACGAAGGTGAACTATGAGAATTGGAGCATTCAAATGAAAGCTCTTTTTGGGTCTCAAGATGGTTGGAAGGTGGTAGAAGAAGGTTTCAAAGAACCGGAAACTACCACGGGATATTCGGCAGCTCAACACAAGGCGTTGAAAGAGACGCGATCGAAAGATAAGGCAGCTTTGTACTTGTTGTTTCGAGCTGTTGACGAGTCGGGCTTTGAGAAGATTGCGAATGCAACAACTTCAAAAGAAGCGTGGGACATTTTGGCGAATGTGTACAAAGGAGCTGACCGGGTTAAACAAGTCCGCCTTCAAACTCTTCGTGGTGAGTTGGAAAGCATGAAGATGAAAGAGTCAGAAGGGGTCTCTGACTACATCACGCGTGTTCAAACCGTGGTGAACCAACTCAACCGAAACGGAGAAGTTTTAACTGATGCACGAGTTGTGGAGAAGATTTTGAGGTCGTTAACTGACAATTTTGAGAATGTCGTATGTGCTATAGAAGAGTCAAAAGACCTATCAATGCTCACGATCGACGAGCTCGCTGGTTCTCTCGAGGCACACGAACAACGTAAGAAGAAGAAGGAGGAGGAGATACTTGAACAAGCACTTCAAACCAAGGCGTCAATCAAAGACAAGAAGGCACTCTATTCTCAAAACATTCGAGGTAGAGGACGTGGTCGTGGAAGTCGAGGAAATGGTCGCGGTGGTAGAGGTCGCGGTGGTAGAGGTCGCAGTCAAGAAGAATATTATGAAGAGAAAGAACATTCAAACCAGCAAAATTGGCGTGGAAGAGGACGTGGTCGTTGGAGAGGCAGTCGATCCAAATATTCCAACATCGAGTGCTACAAGTGTGGCAAATATGGTCACTATGCGAAGGACTGCAACTCCGATAAGTGTTATAATTGTGGAAAGGTGGGGCATTTTGCGAAAGAATGTCGGGTCGAGAAAAAGGTAGAAGAGACAACGAATTTAGTCACAGAAGATGTGGAAGCAAAAGAAGGTTTTCTCTTGATGGCACATAACGAAGTCAACACCAATAACAACACGGTGTGGTACCTTGACACGGGCGCAAGCAATCATATGTGCGGGCACAAGCACCTATTCAAAGAGATACAAAAGGTTGAAACTGGACATGTGTCATTTGGAGATGCGTCGAAGGTTGAAGTCAAAGGCCAAGGTACGGTTTGTTATTTACAAAAGGATGGCTTGGTTGGGTTAATCCAAGATGTATATTACGTACCAGATCTCAAGAGCAACATTTTGAGTATGGGACAACTCATGGAGAAAGGTTATTCAGTATTTATGAAAGACCGAATATTACACTTGAAAGATAAACACGGGCATTTGGTTGCTCGAGTTGAAATGGGGAGAAATCGCATGTTTAAGCTGAATTTGACAAGCGTTCGAGAAAAATGTCTGCGAGTCAACGTAGAAGACAAGGCTTTGCTGTGGCATCTCCGTTTTGGTCACCTACATTATGGTGGTCTAAACAAGTTGGCAAAGAAGAACATGGTGCACGGGCTACCGGACATGGATTATGAGAACAAATTTTGTGAAGAATGTGTGCTCAGCAAGCATGCGAGAACTTTATTTCAAAAGAAGGCAGAATATCGTGCTAAGGAACCTCTCGAATTGATTCATACCGACATATGTGGACCAATCACTCCTGAATCTTTTAGCGGTAAGAGATATTTTATTTCTTTTATTGATGATTTCTCACGAAAAACTTGGGTTTATTTTCTGAAAGAAAAATCCGAGGCATTCGAGGTGTTCAAAAAGTTTAAAGTGGTGGTGGAAAAAGCAATCGGTAGACACATCAAATCGGTACGATCTGATAGAGGTGGCGAGTATACTTCAACAGCTTTCATGGAGTATTGTGAGGTGCAAGGCATAAGGCGATTTCTAACCGCACCATACTCTCCCCAACAAAACAGTGTGGCCGAGAGGAAGAACTGGACTGTTCTTGATATGGTTCGGTCAATGCTTAAAAGCAAGAAGATGCCGAAGGAATTTTGGGCAGAAGCCGTGCAATGCGCTATCTATGTGCAAAATCGGTGTCCACATGCGAAGCTAGATGATCAAACACCACAAGAGGCATGGAGTGGACAAAAACCAACGGTTTCTCATCTCAAAGTATTTGATAGTGTGGCCTATGCACACGTGCCGAATCAGCGAAGAACGAAGCTCGAAGACAAAAGCAAAAGGTATGTTTTTATTGGGTATGACAACAAAACAAAAGGATACAAGCTACTAAACCCAATAAGCAAGCAGGTTGTAGTGAGTCGTGATGTACATGTTAATGAAGCAAATGAGTGGGATTGGAGTAACTCAATGGAGGTTATCAATGAAGATGGAGAATCATCAACCGCTATACCAACAATCACACCGACAAATCCTGAAACAACCAGTGATGAAGATGAACCGCAACAACCCAGAATGCGAAGTTTGCAAGATTTGTATGATTCGACAAATGAGGTACACATTGTATGTCTTTTGGCAGATTCCGAGAATATAAGCTTTGAAGAGGCGGTGCGAGACAAGAAATGGCAAACTGCCATGGATGAGAAGATTAGAGCAATTGGCCGCAACAACACATGGGAGTTAACGGAGTTACCGAAAAGAAGTCAGCCCATTGGTGTGAAGTGGGTGTTCAAGAGAAAAATGAATGCTCAAGGCGAGATAGAACGGTACAAGGCGCGGCTTGTTGTAAAGGGATACAAGCAAAAGGAGGGAATTGACTATGATGAAGTATTTGCTCCTGTTACAAGAATGGAGACAATCCGATTGCTCATTTCACAAGCGGCTCAATTCAATTGGCCGATATTCCAAATGGATGTCAAGTCAGCATTCTTGAATGGAGTGCTTGAAGAAGAAATCTACATCGAACAACCACCCGGGTACATGAAAAGAGGAGAAGAGAAGAAGGTGCTGAAATTGAAGAAGGCACTTTACGGGTTGAAGCAAGCACCGCGGGCATGGAATTCTCGCATTGATACATACTTCAAAGAGAACGGGTTTGAACAATGTCCCTATGAACATGCCCTTTACGTGAAGAAGATTGGAGGTAATATGTTATTTGTTGCTCTTTATGTTGATGACCTCATTTTTATGGGGAACAATGGTAAAATGATACAAGAGTTTAAGAGCACAATGGCACGGGAATTCGAGATGACAGATTTGGGCTTGATGAAGTTTTTCCTTGGTCTGGAGGTAAGACATGAAGAGACGGGGATTTTTGTGTCACAGGAGACATATGCAAAGGAGATTTTGAAAAAATACAAGATGACACATTGCAATCCTGTATCAACACCAATGGAACCGGGTGCAAAACTCTCTAAATTCGATGAAGG